CTATATGGATTAATACTGACTGCCATAAACATATGCACTAATGGTGATTACATTTTAAAATATTCATGGATAGGGATAACAGCAGTCCTCGGGTGAAGGTGTTAAAATGTGGAAAGGTGAACTACAACAATATTAGGCAGGAACTGGAGAATTTTTATTGGAGGTGGCTGTTTAAGGGTAAATCTGTATCAGACCTGTGGGAGTATTTCAAAAGGCAGTTGAAACAGTTCAGGAGCAGCACATTCCTGCAAAAAAATGAACAATATGTATGGCAAGTGACGTGAAGCATACGTAAGGTCTAGAAGGATTGGAACTGATGAAGCCCTTGAAGTATACAAGGAAAGTAGGAAAGACTTAAACAAGGAATTAGAGGGGCTAAAAAGGTCACGAAAAGTCATTAACAAAACAGGGTTAAGGAGAATCCCAAGGCTTTTTATACGTATATAAAAAGCAAAAGGGAAACCAGGGAAAGGGTTGGCCCATTCAAGGACAAAGCAGGGAATGTGTGTGGAGCCAGAAGAGGTAGGTGAGGTCCTAAATGAATATTTTGTCTTGGTACTCACCAAAGAGAAGGAATTGGTGGAGGATGATCTCAGGGAAGGGAGTGTCGAGTTTCTAAGCCAACTTGCTATGAAAAAGGAAGAGGTGTTGTGCATCTTAAAAAGCATTAAGATAGATCAGTCCCCAGGTCCGGATGAGATCTATACCAGAATACTGAGGAAGGCAAGAGAACAAATTGCTGGAGCATTGACACACATCTTTGTATCCTCTTCGGCCACAGATGAAGCCCCAGAGGACTGGAGAACAGCCAATGCTGTCCCACTGTTTAAGAAGAGTATCAGGAATAATCCTGGTAAATTACAGGCCTGTGAGTCTCACATTGGTGGCAAGGAAATTATTGGAAAAGATTCTTAGGGACAAGATGTGTAGCTTTTAGAAACAAATGGACTTATTTCCGATAGACAGCACGGTTCTGTGTGGGGGAGGTCGTGCCTCACTAACTTGATTGAGATTTTTGACTTGGTGATGAAGATGATTGATGTTGTCTACATGGTCTTCAGTAAAGCCTCTGACAAGGTCCCTCATGGCAGTCTGGTACAAAAGGTGAAGGCACATGGTATCAGAGCGAGCTGGCAAGTTGGATACAGAAACTGACTTACTCACAGGAGACAGACTGTATCTGTCGAGGCCCGAAACGTCAGCCTTCCTGCTCCTATGATGCTGCTTGGCTGCTGTGTTCATCCAGCTCTACATCTTGTTATCTCTGTATCTGTGGAAGGATGCTTTTCAGAATGGAAGGCTGTGACTAGTGGTGCTCCACCGGGATCAGTGCTGGGACCTTTGCTGTTTGTGATCGACGTGAATGATTTGAATGAAAACGTAGCTGATCTAATTAGCAAGTTTACGGACAATACAAAGATTGGAGGAGTTGCGGACAGTGAGGAGGATTGTCATAGGATGCAGCAGGATATAGACCAGTTGGAGGCATGGGCAGATAAAATGGCAGATGAAGTTTAATCCAGACAAATGTGAGGTGATGAATTTTGGAAGGCCAAGTACAGGTAGAAAATATACAGTGAATGGCAGAACCCTTCAAAGTATTAATGTGCAGAGGGATCTGGGTGTGCAGGTCCAGAGATCACTGAAGGTGGCAGCACAGGTACATAAAGTAGTAAAAAAGGCTTATGGCATACTTGCCTTCATTGGAAGAGGCATTAAGTATATGGATCGACAAGTTATGATGCAGCTTTATAGAACTTTCGTTTGGCCATACTTGGAATATTGCGTACAGTTCTAGTCACCACACTACAAGAAGGATGTGGGTGCTTTGGATAGGGTACAGGAAAGGTTTACCAGGATGTTGCCTGGTATGGGGAATTTTAGTTATGAAGAAAGATTGGATAGATTGGGGTTGTTTTCACTGGAACGCAGGAGCTTGATTGGCGACCTAATAGAAGTTTATAAGGTTTTGAATGGCAAGGATAGAGTGGAAAGTGTGAGGCTTTTTCCCCAGGGTCAAAGGGTCAATTACTATTGGACACAGGTTCAAGGTGCAGGGGAGGAAGTTTAAAAGAAATATGTGAGACAAGTTTTTCACACAAAGGGTGATGAGTGCCTGGAACGCGTTACCAGAGGTGATGATGGAAGCAGACACAATAGGAGCATTCAAGAAGCACCAATAGCAAGGGAACAGAGGGATATGGATCCTGCAGGTCAAGACAGTTTTACTATGGAAGGGCAAAACATGTTGGTGCAGGCTTGGAAGATCAAAGGGCCTGTTCCTGTGCTGATTTTTCTTTGTTCTATATGGAATTGTGGGCAGAAGAGCTTAACATTTCAAAGGACTGAGACCTAATATCTCGCTCTCCTCAATCTATAGGAATAGATTATGTGAATATAGGAGGTATGGCTAGTAAGTTTGCAGACAATACTAAAACGAATGGTGCAGTGGACAGTGAAGAAGGTTACCTCAGAGTAAAACGGGACCTTGATCAGATGCGCTAACAGTGGCAGATGGAGTTTAATTTAGATAAATGTAAGGTGTTGCATTTTGGAAAGGCAAATCAGGGCAGGACTTATACAGCTAATGGTAGGTGCCCTGGGGAGTGTTGCCTAACAAAGGGGCCTAGGGGTACAGGTGTAGAGTTCCTACAAAGTGGAGTCGCTGGGTGGCAAAAGTGGTGTTTGGCACCCTTGCCTTTATTGGTCAGTGCATTGAGTATAGGAGTTGGAAGGTCATGTTGCAGCTGTACAGGACATTGGTTAGGCCACTTTTGGAATACTGCATTCAATTCAGGTCTTCCTGCGATAGGAAACAGGTTGTGCAACTTGAAAGGGTTAAGAAAAGATTTACAAGGGCGTTGCCAGAATTGGAGGGTTTCAGTTGTAGGAAGAGGCTGAATAGGTTGGGGTTATTTTCCCTAGAGCATCAGAGGCTGAGTGGTTTGCAAAATGATGAGGGCATCGATAGGGTGAATATCCTGGTAAAAAGACATTGGCTAAAGGAGTCCAAAACTAGAGGGCATAGGTTTAAGGTGAAAGGGTAAAGATTTAAAAGGGACCTGAGGGGCAGCTCTTTCCACACAGAGGTGGTGTGTATGGAACGAGCTGCCAAACAAAGTGGAGGAGACAGGTACAATTACAACTGCACGAATAGGAAGGGTTTAGAGGGATATGGGCCAAATGTTGGAAAATGGGATTAGATTAATTCACCTTATGAAGGAGCAGCACCTGGAACACTTGTGATTTCAAATAAAGTTGTTGGACTATAACCTGGTGTCGAGTGACTTATGACTTTGAACAATTAGAGACGCAACAACCTTTTCATGAGTAATATCTCATACAGCAGACTAACTTCGGGTATTCTCTAACACAAAAGACTACATTTTGCTTGCACATGGTGAAGACTAACTAAAAAAAACACTTACACGTTGGTAGCCAGAGTTGGAGTAGTCACGGGGGGCAGAAAATGGAGATTGTCCGTAACCACTGTTTGGAGTGTTCGAAAATGCAGGGCGGTAGCCTTCGTACGCACCTGAAAGAGAATTAAGAATGCAATGTCAAGCACTATGATTATGACATAAATGAGACACTTCCAGCAAGACTATTTGATGCAAACTTGTGTTAATTATGAACTTTTTAAAGATGAACTTTAACTTAAAGGCACTTCACAGCTACAAAAAAGGATTATGTAAGAATTAACTTTTGAACTGTATTCAAATTTTATTTATTCACACACAGTGTGAGCATTAATAGCAAGGCCTGCCTTTGTTTCCTGGTACGAAAGAAGGTGGCTAAAACCTTGGTGAAAGAGGTCGGTTTTCAGGATTGTTTTGAGGAAAGACAAAGGTGAAATTGGAGATTAGTTAGCTAATTCCAGGGTTTAGGGCCTAAGTAGCTGAAGACAGGCCCACAAATGGCCATTAAAATTGGGATGGCCAGAAGCTAGAATTAGGTAAGAGTTATTGTAGTAAAATTGACAGCTACACTCCAATATGTATTGTCAGGAATGAAGAACACGGAATCATACTGTGATTGTGATAAACAAATGGAGGACTTAAGAAAGAGGTTGGAAATGGTACGGTGAGCAAGAAATGATTTTGAAAGTATCTTACAAATTGAAGGAAGCTGGTAGAGGCCATTTATTAAAAGATCATTCAATAAAATTAATAGTCATATTTATTGCACGCAAGTTATTAATTAAATAACTTAAGTCCAAGTAGCTTTCGCCAATTTACGACAGATTAATTTTGCCTCAACCTTCATGCAACTTGTTATGTGTGACTTTTTATTTTACACAAAACTAAAATTACATTTGTCTTGCCCTTTTGTCCCAAACACTTCAGGTAGAACAGCTTCTGTTGCCAAAATGGCTGATTAATCAAAGAATGCTTATAACACAGAAGGGGGCCCTTAGTTCTCGCAAGGAGTAATTCCTCAGGTGTCAGACCCAAGCCTTCCTCAACTACCAGCCTCCAACTCACTTAAGCAGTGCTTGGGGAGCTGGTGGCCTTGTGGTATTCTTGCTAGTTAACTAATCCAGAGACCCAGGTAATGTTATGGGGATCCGGATTCAAATCCCTGCAATGCCAGAGAGTGGTACTGGAATCGAATAATCACAAAGTCTAGAATTAAGAGTCCAATAATGACCATTAAACAGTTGTTGAACCTGTTTAACCTAGTGACGCTGGTTCACTAATGTCCTTCAGACAATGAAATCTGCCAACCTAACCTGGTCTTGCCGAAGTGTGACACCAGACTTACAGCAACGTCATTAACTCTTAACTGCCCTCTAGCCAATAAGAGATGGGCAATAAATGCTGGCTTTACCAGTGATCCACATCCTGTAAATAAATTTTAAAAATGCTACTCATTGTCTCTTTTGCCAAAGTATGTGACCTTAACCTTTACACCAATTTTTAAAGACAGTTTTTAACAGTTGCTCCCTTTCTGACAAGATCCAGCATAGTTTTGAAAATTTACTTCATATCTCTCCTCAGCCGTCTCCACTCTCGGAAAAGGGTCCCAGCTTCCATCTTCGATATTGAAGTTATTCATCCCTGGAGTCATTACAGGCAATAAGTTCTACACACACTCAAATGTCATAACCACAGATCATCCCCACTCTGGTCACCAAGGACATAATCAAATCTTTGATTTCAACATAAGACATGGAGCAGAAGTCAGCCATTTAGCTCATCAAGTTCACTCCACCATTCAATCATGTGTTTTTTCAAAAAAGGACAACTGATAGAGCGGAGATGATGACGGATGCAAAAATCAATGGCTGTCTTGATTGGAATTCTGAAATGTCACATCCATACAGAGTCTGGGAAACTTCAAACAGAAAGATAAAGAAGAATGGGATAATGAGGATGAATACCCAACCCCATCTCAGCAAGCAGCCATCTCCTGCAGACAGGTTTGTGTTTTACTCTCCCAAGGATTTTCTAAAAATAGGGATAAAGTGGGCTTCAACTCTGATCTAAGAGATACTGGACTGACATCTTAGTGTGTGGACTCGTGTGCTGTGCAGGTCACAGCTTTGAGAACAGCCACAAAGCACCACTGCACAGCAGATAGAGCAAGGGAAAAGACAACACATTGAGTCCATGTTGCTAGCTACTCAGTCGAAAGGAGCCAGGACACAAGAATTTTAATCAGCCTACAAAGCCAAAATCTTAAAAGATACTATTCAACTCTGAACATCAACATTATTGGTAACATCATACTATCAATTCTACATTAATGAGTCGTAGACTAATATGCATTTTCCTTGATAATTTTTTTGTTTCTTGCGGATGCGGGGGTGGTGGTGCAGAGGGCTCACTTCTTATTCCTGAACCGTATTTGTGTGGCTTATATTATTATTTCTCGCAGCTACTAACTGATGAACTCAATCTTTTGACAACTTGATTAAAATGGCTGATAAAACCACTGTGAGCAATTTTGCGCCCGATACCTCTGGAAGGATGTACTGGCCCTGGAGCAGGCCCAGAGGAGGTCCACGAGAATGATCCCAGGAATGAAGGTTTCACACGTAAGGGCCGTAGGTCTATACTCGATGCAAGTTAGAAGGAGTGTGTGCGCGCGCCTGGACAAAGTGGACATTGGCAAGATGTTTCCATTAGCAAGAGAGACGAGGACCCAAGGGCACATCCTTAGAGTTAAAGGGAAGACCCTTTAGAACAGACAGTCGGAGAAACTTCTTTAGCCAGAGAATGGTGAATCTATGAAATTTGTGGAGACGAGGTCATTGAGTATATTTTAAGACAGAGATCAATAGGTTCTTGACCTGTTCAGGGGATCAAAGGTTACAGGGAGAAGGTGGAGAATAGGATTGGGAGGCTTATCGGCCATGACTGAATGATGGAACAGACTCGATGGGCCGAATCGCCTAATTTCTGCTCCTCTGTCTTAAGATATAACTTTTTTTAGTGCAGGAGAAAGGTATCCACAATGGAAGGGAACCTTTTTAAAATTGACCTGTTGCAATAAACCGAGGGGCAGAAAAAAGGGAAGCCAGTTCATCCTTCCTCATTGGGAGCTTATCGATGTAAGGTATCTCGTCTGGAAATAAAACAAATTTGGGGAACCAAAGTCAGAGTCCGCTTGTATCAGTGGACACAATACTCCAGGTCAGGCCAAACCAAGGTATTAAACAAGTTTAAAATGACTTTCTTGTTTTTGTATTCTATGTTGCTTTAAATAAAGTGCACGTTGGTATGCTTTATTAACCACTGCCTCAATTAGCGATCTTCAATCACTTATGCATGCATACATCAAGGTCCCTCTGCCCTTTAGAATTGTTCTCTATTTTCTGCTATCTCTCAGCGTTCTTTGTATTAAACGTCTTGTCATTATTACTCATTTCATCAAGCTGTCATTTTGAAAGTATACAATATTTTCATGGTTCAGAGTACTTGTCAAGTTAAATACTGTCAGCAAATTCTGAAATTGCTCACTGTACACAAGTCCACATTATTCACACATACTGCCAAGATATGTGGTCCAAACCTGATCCGTGGGTAACTCCACTATAAATCTTCCTTCAGACACAAAGCTTTCCATGAATCAGTCAATTTCATATTAACGACACTGCTGTCATTTTCATTTAATTGGTTCGTGGTTTTAGTCAAGTATCGCATGACAAATTTATTTCAGTTCTTAAACAACAGATCAACATAATTTCTCACATCCAGGGTCCAGTTACTGAAGCAAAAACTGAGCTTTGATTCTTTGATATAAATCTTGGGTTTTATTACTCCGGAGCTCATTTCATGTTAAAATATATTGGTGCTGGCTCCATGAAGCAATAGCTAGTGGAAAATAATATAACATGTCTTAACGTTTTAAGCTACCCTAGATAAAAATGTTGCAAAAGAATTGTATTGTGTAATTTGTCACGTATTGTATGCAATCACCATAAATATTTTTGTACAGTTAATGGTAAGTCTCTGAGGAGTACTGCCGAACAAAGAGATCCAGGAGTGCAGCTGCATAGTTCCTTGAAACTGGAGCTGCAGGTAGACAGGGTGGTGAAACATTTCACATGCTTGCCTTTATTGGTCAGTGCATTGTGTATAGGAGTTCAGATGTCATGTTGCAGCTGTACAGGACACTGGTGAGGCTATTTTTAGCATACTGCGTCCAATTCTGGTCACCATTCTATTGGAGGGATTTTGTTAAACTCGAGAGGGTACAGAAAAGGTTTACAAGGATGTTGCCACAACTGCAGAGTTTGAGTTATATGAAGAGTTTGAATAGGCTGGGCCTACCTTCCCTGGAGCGTCAGAGGCTAAGAGGTGACCTTATAGAGATTTATGAAATCATGAGGGGCATGGATAGCGTAAATAGCAAGGATCTTTTTCCCAGGATAAGGGAGTCCAAAACTGGAGGGCATTGGTTTACGGTGAGAAAGGAAAGATTTAAAAGGGTTCTAAGCGGCAACTTTTTCATTCAGAGGACAGTGTGTGTATGAAACGAGCTTACTAGAGGAAGTGGTGGAGAAGACTACAATCATAACATTTAAAAGGCATCTGGATGGGTATGTAAAAATGAAGGGTTGAGGGGGATTTGGACCAAATGTTGGCAAACAGCACAGTCAGATTGAAATGTTTGGTTGGCAAGGACAAGTTGGACCGAAGGGTCTGTTTCCGAGCTGTATGACTCTATGACTTAAGAAATTTAGTTATACAAGATGTTCTATTAATAAATCTGTACTGGAATTCCTTACAGGTCAAGTGACTTAATTGTCTCTTGAATTTTTTTTAATGTCTTCACAGAATGTGGACATCACTGGCATGGTCAACGTTTACTGCCTATCCCTACCACCCTGGAGAATCTGACACCAAGTTGCTCTCTGGAACCAATGCAATCTACTGATAATTGATATACTTACAGCACTGCTAAGAATGGCCATGAGAAATAGCAATATAATTCCAAATCAGGATGGATGTGGCTCAGAGTCTCTTTCAGACGGTGTTCCCATGTATCTGCTGGCCTGGTCCTTCTAGGTTGCAGTACTCATGGATTCGGAAGGTGTTTAAAGAGCTTTATATAGAGTTACTGAAGGTTAGATTTTTGCAAGATGAACTGCTACCATTGTGAACCAATGGTAGAAACGAAAGCTTCACTTGATAGATTCGGTGCCAAGCTGGTACTATTGTGATAGGGATTGATGGTAATACTTTAAAGGTGGATGCCAGAGTGAAATCTGGCTTATAGATCACACATCTAATTTTTGAGAAGAAAGCAGAGTTAACGTGGAGTCCGGCGACTCTCCATAAAGTTCACAAGTAGAAGAGACCATTTTTAGGCAGATTACAGAAATCTGCAAGACAAGTGGAGCTCTGATAGTTGGTGATTTCAATTACCTTAGGGTGCTGAATCTGGTCTTAGAAAATGAGGCAGGCTCAGTGGAGAACGTCAGAATGGGGGAGCATTTAAAAAATAGCGATCATGACATGATAAGTTTCAATATTAATTTGGAAAAGGATTTATTTTTAAAAAAAAAAAATCAGTCCATGGTCAAGATTCCAGACTGAAAAAGGGCAGATTTTAGAGGTCTAAAAGTTCAAATGGAGCACGCTGATTGGAAGTGCTTTTTAATGGATAAAACAGCAGATGGAAAAATGGGAGAATTTCAAAAGGGAGATGAATAGGGTGGAAGTTAGGTACATATCCATGAGAAATAAATACGGGTTATCCAAATCTAGAGTACCCTGGATGATGAGGAAATAAGGAAGTAAAAGGAGGCCATGAATTGCATACCAGAATAATAGCCATAGAATCTGGAAGAGTATCTCCAATGCAGGAGTGAGGCTAAGATTGGAATAAGGAAGGCGAAGAGGAAGCATGAGAAAAGAATGGCAGGCTGCACGAAAACAAATAGTAAAATGTTCTTCAAAAATACATTAAATGTGAAAGATAAGTGAAGTACAGAGTGGTGATATAGTGATAGATTTTTTAAGAAGTGCTAAAATGGCTGGTGGCATTCCAGATAGACAAGTCATCAGGCCCACATGGAATGCATCCTAGATTGCTAAAACAGTTAAAGGAGTAAATCGGGGAGCCATCAATAGAAATTTTCCAGGCCTGTCTGAACAAAAGATTAGTGGAGACTGGATGATCGCAAATATGAACCATTGTTTAAGAAAAGGACAAAGGATAATCTAGGAAACTACAGACCTGTCAGCTGGACATCAAAAGTGCGAAAGCTGGTGGAGGCCACATCACAGGATCAGGTAAATGTACTCTTCGAGAAAAATAAGTTAATACCAGACTACCAACATGGCTTTGTCAAGTGGACTCACGTCTGACAAATTTAATCATGTTCTTCGACATAGTGACATAGGTAGTGGAAGTGGGTAGTGCTGTGGATATCTCATTGTATATTGTTATATATTTGGACTTTCAGAAAACATTTGATATGGTGCCACATAGCAGGTAGGTTAGCAAATTAGAAACGTTTGGGATTGATGGGTCCTTAGCAGCATAGATTAGAAGTTGGCTAAGCATCAGAGGAGCAGGAAGGCTGACGTTTCGGGCCTAGACCCTTCTTCAGAAATGGGGGAGGGGAAGAGGGTTCTGAAATAAATAGGGAGAGAGGGGGAGGCAGATAGAAGATGGATAGAGGAGAAGATAGGTGAAGAGGAGACAGACAGGTCAAAGAGGTGGGGATGGAGCCAGTAAAGGTGAGTGTAGGTGGGGGGGTAGGGAGCAGATAGGTCAGTCCAGGGAGGACGGACAGGTCAAGGGGGCGGGACGAGGTTAGTAGGTAGGAGATGGGGGTGGGGCTTGAGGTGGGAGGAGGGGATAGGTGGGAGAAAGAACAGGTTAGGGAGGTGGGGACGAGCTGCGCTGGTTTTGGGATGCGGTAGGAGGGGGGCAGATTTTGAAGCTTGTGAAGTCCACATTGATACCATTGGGCTGCAAGGTTCCCAAGCGGAATATGAGTTGCTGTTCCTGATACTAGGATTGAGGAACTTTAGATACAAGGAAAGATGAGAGAGATGGGCCTTCTTCTCCTTGAAGCAGAGAAGGTTAAGGGCTTATCTTATTGATGTGGAGGTGCTGGTGTTGGACTGGGACGGATAAGGTTAGAAATCACACGACACCAGGTTATAGTCCAACAGGTTTATTTGAAAACACAAGCTTTTGGAGCTTCAGTCCTTCTGAAGTGTTCCTGTTGGGACTATAATCTGGTGTTGTGTTGGATATATAACCTATTGGACTACAACCTGGTATTGTGTGATTTCTGACCTTAGCTTATTGACGTTTTCAACATTATGAACAATTTGGACAGGGTGAGAAGGATTTGTTTCCATTTGTCAGTATGTCAGTAACTAGGGATCACAATTTCAAGATTTTCAGCAAGAGAGCGAGGAGTAAGATGAAGAGAAACTTCTTTACTCAGGGAGTTCTTAAGATTTGGAATGCGCTGCCCGGGAGAGTGGTGGAGACAGATTCCATAGGAGGTTTCAAAAGAGAGCTGGATATATTTGGAAGCGATTAAGTTAGAGGGCTATGGAGTTAGGGCTGGAGTCAGACCTGCTGGATTGCTCTTTCAGGAGCCAGTACAGACATGATGGGTCAAATTGCCTCTTCCTGTCCTGTAAAATTACATGATTCTATCTTCACAACAGCTGCAAATGTTCTTCAGCAACACAACACAAGTTTATGACACAAAGAAAACAAAAAGAGCGAGAAGACGGGGACAGAGGAAAAACAGGGAGACCGGCTAAAGATCTTAAACACAGACAGCAAAACATCTCAGCCGTTTCTCATCACTATATTAAAAGACACAATCCCAGAGCAATTTCACTGTCACAGCTTTCTAAATTTTGGCATTGTAGTTTTCCTGTTGTTTTCCTTTGGATTGTTGAGGTTGTTTATTTTTGTTGATTCATTTCCAAGTCCATTGACACAATTCTTTCAATTCTGAGAGCCTGAACTTTCTCCGTTCTATCAATTTGAAGATTTCTATCCAAACTCTCCTGGCTCAGAAGCTCAACAACAAACACTTCAGCTCAGGCAAGTGACTACCCTGAAATGACTTGATTTTCTGCTTGGAGAAACTGTTCTACCATCTGAACTGAATTCTAGTTTGAGTTTAGAACAGAAAGTCTCCAAATTAACTGCCCTAATAGGTTTACCGTGCTGGTCATAAACTGCAATATACACATTGTATTAATTAACACCACAGGGGTTCGCTCAGGCAGTCACATGATTTCTTAGAACTCATTTAAGTCACTGCTCCAAATGAACTTTAACCTTTTGGGGAAAAAACCTTCACAAAACATAACCACATCCATCCGTACTTTGAAATCTGAAGCCAACAATAATAATATCCCCTCCAAGTTGTGTGCAAGTACAGCCACTCCAAGGCTCTGTGCATGGCAATTAGCATCATCAGCTGATCGCGGCACTCATTTCTAGTTCTGAAAGCCACTGCTGCGCAAACACCTTGGAGGTTCACACAGCCAAAAAGAAAATTAGAGAGAACACTAACCATACACGTTTTCAACAATGTATCAAGCTTTGAGTATTACTGCAGCTGCGCTCACCAGATAAATGGAGAATTTTCCATCACAGACTTTGTGTTTTGTAGATGCTGGATAAGCACTGAGAAGTCAAGAAGCGAGTTTTCACTGCAGGATTCCTAGCTTCTGCCATGTTCTTGCAGCCACAGTATTTACATGACTGGGCATGTTCTAATTCTGGCAAAAGGTAACCTTCAGAATGTTGATACTGCGGGAGTGAGCCATGTTAATGCCACTCAGTGTCATGGGGAGATGGTTAAAATTTTATTACCGTGGATGGACATTCACAGCACAGAAGTGCACAGCAATGTTATTTGCAACTTGTCAGCCACACACAAATGTTGTCCAGATCTTTGAGCACATGGACTTTACTAAAGCCTTTGACAAGGTTCTGCATGGTAGACTTCAGTAAAGCTAGATCATATGGAATTTAAGGAGAACTTGTCAACTGGATCCAAAATTGGCTCGATTGTACGAGACAGAGGGTGGTGGCGGAGGGTTGTTTTTCAGACTGGAGGCAGGTGACCAGTGCTGGGTCCATTGTTGTTAGTCATTTACGTAAATGATTTGGATGTGAATTTAAAAGAAATGGTTAGTAAGTTTGCCATGACATCAATGGCCTATAGAAGGCTTCTAGGTTTCTTTCCAGGTTAGCTACCAGTCTCTTCTTAAATGGACTCTTTCTACTGTGTTATTTGCTTTATCTACTCTGCTTGGAACCTTCAACAATCAGCCTGATTCTAGTTTTTCCTCATCCAACTGACATCTGCCATAAACACACTTTTGCTCTTAAACAATCAAGGAGTAATATTGGATTTGAAGCGTTAACTGTTTTTCTCTGCCCACAGATGATGCCAGAACTGTTGAGTTTTTCTAGCACTCCGTTTTTAATTCTTGCCCCTCCCTTTTCTTCTACCTGACAATTCCATCTGAGATTTAGATAAAATTCCCTTCATTGCAACTACTTCACATTCTTGCATCTTCTTCCGAAAATATAGCCAAATAGATTCCATCCAAGGCTCCTTTGGGGTACACAACTCTGTCCAACATCACAACATTCTCCTTAATCAATGCTATCATTCTACCCTATTCCCAGCCTTCCTGACTACAGTATATGCACGGTCCTGCCCTGGTCTCCATCACAGACACAACATTACATTACATTACTGTATGGCTATCTGCACCTGCATCTCATTAATCTTACTTACTGCTTGATGCGCATTGAGAAACACGCTCAGTAATTTAGTCTGTATACTCCCCACCTTACACATAACCAAACTCAACTTTAATGCTATCCGTTTTTCCCAGTATTTTGTGCACCTTGGTTTTCCTCTCTCATGTTACCTCCTTCTTCCCAACATATCTGCCACATTAGCTTAAATCCTGTCCAACAACAGGAGCAAACCAACAACAAAGTTAATCCTGATTCATTTTGGTGCAATCCGTTGGACTTGTACAGATTCCAACTCGCCCAGAACTGATCCCAGTGTCCCAGAAATCTAAATCTCTCTCCTACATGATCAATCCAGCCATGCATTCATCTGCTTAAATCTCTGATTTAATACTCATTTATCTTGTTTCCCCAAATTGTGGTTCTGGTCCTTTAATGAAAATAACACAGCAACCTCAGGCAAAGAACAGTCCTGTAGTTAAATGCAAATATCTTTAAGACGCTGAGCTGCACCACTCCATTCTTAGTTTGGTGAAAAATGATATTTCTGTTTCACTACTGACAAGTACTGAATACCATGGCTGTATTTGCTCAGCAGATACAAACTAAACATATCACAGATATTCAAAGTACTGATCAGTCATCAATAGTGTCTTTTAATATAATGTTAATCATTGACAATCAACCTTGCTGGCACTGTAAGTTAACATTATGTTTAGGTTTGAACTTTTCAGGCTTTTACAAAGGTCGATTTTATTTTTAAAGAAGAAGAAAACTGATTTGTATTTATGCCATTTTTCCTCCAGTCTTGTTTTTCTTTTCTATCCATGCTTCGTTATCTGACTTGTTATTGGGTTCAACCCTTTTCACAATCCTTGAACCTCATTAAGGATATAACCTATCCGGTGCCCTGTTCACTCATGTTTCAATGAACCTTCTTCCGTCACTGGACCAAGACCGGGTTGCATTTTCAGCACCTTCTTGCACATATTTATGAACTGAAGGGTGCAAAGATAGTTTTAATTAACAGATCCTCTTAGATGACCTGCTACAGCAAATTCCGGACCAATATTTGTATATTATACATTAATATGCTTTTTCAAAAAAAAATCAGAATGCTTTTTTTCTATTTTGTCTAATTCAGAAGACTCAAAGCTGTTATTTCCTACCTCTGAATCCATTAGCAGGTCCACGATACCCATTCATTCCTCCTCGCGCGTTGCGTGGGCCACCACGTGACACACCCCTGCTGTTGTAGAAAGCCTGTCCTGTACGTGCAAAGCCTGTATTCTGTTGAGGCTGTTGAGATAGTTGCTGATGCGTTGCTCCAGCAGGGTGTGTTTGGTCTTGAGATGCATGGTAAGGGCTAACCACTATGCAGGGAAGAAATAAACAGCAGCTCGGTACCATGTAATTTAAAATAAAATCTACAAGTCTCTAAAACAGAACTAAAAAGGAACTATGTAACTAATTTCATTCATTGTGTAAAACATGAATGGCTTTAATAAAATATATTTAAAATTGGTTTAAATCAATTTAAAGATTGGATCAGGCAGATAAAGCAGAATTAATTCCTTGGCGGGAGAGTTAAGCCTTTCAGAGATGGCGTTAGAAATTACCTCCTCCATAAATGCTAGCGTAAATTTATAACTTTCCGTAAGATCATAAGACCATAAGAAATAGGAACAACAGCAGACCATTGGCCTCTCAAGCCTGTTCTACCATTCAGTAGGATTATCTGACATACCTCAAGTCCACTTTCCTCCTTTTTCCCCACAACCCTTGATTCCCCGAGTACCGATCAAGGATCTATTTCAGCATAAAAAAAACACAAGGACTTTGCCCCCACAGCTCTCTGTGCCAAGGAGTTCCAAAGTCTCTCAACCCTCTGAAGAAATTCCTCCTCATCTCAGTGTTAAATTGGCACCTGTTTATACTGAGACCAGGCCCTCTGGTCCTAAACTTGTCCATGAACAAAACAAAAACATAATTAGCATTATGGTTTTCCACATCATTGTTAATTAAGAAACATCAAAATAAGTGAATTAAGGGTATGCAGTAAAATTTCTTTCCCTTCCCCCAAATCAGTGATTCAATTGCACAGATTTCTCAATGTTGGTGTTAACTTTTCCATGGCTGAAATAATGATCTTGCCCAACAAAATATATGCTTAGCTCTCTTCCCACTTAGCCCAAATACTGAATCATAGAATGGTTACTGCACACAGGATGTCGTTATGGCTGCACTGGCTCACTGAAGGAGCAATTCACCAAGTGCCACTTTGCTGGGTTTTCTCCCCCCCAGCAGATTTGCACATTTCAACTCCTCAGATGATCAGTTACCTTTGAAAGCCTCAACTGATCAGGTCTCCACCACCAAGTCATGCAATGGATTCCAATTCCTAACCAGTCTCGAGTCTTCCCTTATGCTGCCATTGCTTCTTTTGACCTTAAATCTGCTTCTGCTTGAGTCTAGATCAATTGTAAATGCTACACTGGGGTTCATATACTTATCATAGGGAAGGGTATTACAGGGGAGAACCACAGTTAAGATACACAGCACCACGATGTAACTGAATAACATAAAGGCTTGAGGGATTCAATGCGCTCCTATTCCAAGGATTCTCTCAGTGACAGAATACCCAATTCATTTTAAAATTTTAAGAAAGCGAAACATATGACCAAAGGTCAGAATGTTTTTGCTTTGGCTCACAGGATGAAATCACACAACTGCATGGGCTCAACGTTTTAACATTAAATCCTACTACAACCATTTTCATCAGTCGGGTGATATCATCCAGTTCTGTGACTAGAAACTACACAGTTCAACTCAATTCAGTGGCCAAGAGTATCACTGATCTTAGCCATCAAGTTGGCACATCGACAGTAACCAATGAGATGTTTGTGCAGTGTCTTAGGGAAGGTAACTTCCAATACCACACGATTGTTTCAAAACTTCACTCCATCAAAAAAGTTTTGAAACCATAATGTTAGATACATTTTTCTTCCAACTCCATCACTCCCCCACTTCTATTTTTGGTATGAAGTTCTCAGTTTGGAAATCTTTCAGCACTCTCTCAGATCTCCCATGTCTCAGCCTGGACTGAAATTGGTGGGTGACGACCATGAGGAGACATCCCAAAATTCAGCCACAAACAGTTCTAGCATTTAATGGCCAATGATCACAGCAGGTATACTGGTCAATTTATCTCATGCCTAAAGCAGGCAGAAAAATACTCAGAACATAACAGAAGTGTCAGGACTGTTGATGTAGAAGACTAAATAACTTAGAGCAAACTTAAGAGCTTGAAACTCACCAACTGGAAATACTGAAACTGAACACAACTGTTTAAGACAAAAACAAAGATCACAAAAAATGAAAATTCGTGGGAAACAAAATTAAGATCTCAAGGCATTAAGAATTGAACAGGACATGATCTTGCACACCCTTTACCAGATGGCAGGCCAGAATTTTCTATCAAGTAGTCTAAGATTATGAGTGAATAAACTACCCATACTCTAAGACTCAAAAAAACGAGGAGGAGAATGAGATATTCTGGACAATCTTCAGCCAGAAACCATTTGCCTCTTAATAATCCATGATTGCACTGAAACTATTTTTTTTAGTACAATACATGTTCCCAGTGGTCGCAGTGTTCCAACTTGAATATTTCTCACACTTATCCAAACAGCATGGTGCCTTTAAGAACCTGAGTGCCAACTACAACTTTAGTGGAATCTTTTTTGGACAGTATCTTTCAGATCAATATCACCCAGGATCTCAAATATTGAGGGCTTTTGGGCAGCTGCGGTAGGAAACACATTATTGCCCCTGTTCCTCATCAAACAAGCCAGTCGATATGCCTCCATTTTTGATCAGCTACTTTACATACCATGACTCTCATATATACACTCCATCTGTTGATAACAGATTGTAGAGGTCACTTATTATCAACAATCAGAACGAAGATGTTTCAAACTTGTGAAGTATTCTGCTCATTGGAGAATCAAGAGTCTGCCTGGAGAGAACACGTAGACTCAAGAGCAAAGCAATGCAATAGTATGCACTAGGGTAACACAGTGTGAAGCTGGAGGAACACAGCAAACTAGGTAGCATTAGAGGAGCAGGAAAACTGACGTTTCGAGTCAGGACCCTTCTTCAGAAATGGGGGAGGGGAAGGGGGCTCTGAAATCTCAGAGAGGGGCGATTTATTTCAGAGCACCCTTCCCCTCCCCCATTTCTGAAGAAGGGTCCCGACCCGAAATGTCAGCTTTCCTGCTCCTCTGATGCTGCCTGGCCTGCTGTGTTCCTCCAGCTCCACACCACTGTGTTATCTCAGGCTCCAGCATCAGC